ATGGTCGAATCTCTGTTTCCTATGGGGTGATAATATGTGAAGGATCTGATTGATACTTCTTAAGCATCAACACATGAAAAATATTATGGATCTTGTCTATTTCATGAGGCAATTCTAGCTGATAAGTCAGTGATCCAACTTTTTTTATAATCTTATAAGTTCCAATAAATCTCGGACTCAACTTTCCTTTTCGTCTAAACTTCAATACTTTTTTTTCCCAAGGTGATAATTTAAGAAATACTTCTTTATCACCTTTCTAGTGTTTAATCTCTTTTCTTTTCAAGTATACGCAAGACTTTTGTCAATCAGTAACTATCTTAAGATTATTTTAAATGATATTTTCCCATTACAAGGTCCATTGTAAACTCCCACTAAGGGATAGAAATCAATTACAATAATACAAAAGACATTTGATGCTTTACTTTAACTCACTGACATGACATCCATTTAGAAACAAGCTCGATGATAACTCTTTTCATATATGTTTATAAACTCTTTCCTCGATAATATAAACATTCATTAGACTTAACCTTAAAGTCTTTAGTTTCTCTTTTCTATGCTTGTTCTATCTTTGAAAAGCATGACAATTTTCATATTTTCTCTGAAGATCCTTTATTCGATCTATCAACATAGGCACTTGATCCTTTAATTCTACAATCAAAACAACATCTTTCTTTGAAGACAATCATGTATTCAAAACTCTCAAAATAAAAATGTCTTTCGACTTTATCGTATCAGGCATCAATTAGCCTTTCCTGTTTACAGTTGATAAGCATGTCATCATTATTTAAGGAATTAAATCCATTTCCTTTATTTTCACTCATTCGAGTCAACACATACTTTTGACTTTTGAGATCCGTATAGATATTGCGTCACTCACCATGTAGATAATGGTGTTATATCAACAAAATAAACACAATTATTGCTAACTCGAGATTGTGAGTAAGATAATTTCTTTCATGATTCTCTAGTTACTTTAAAGCATAAACCAAAACTTTTCCTCTTGTACGAACATGCATCCCAAACCATTATGAGACTCATTACTATAATTCACATAATCTTTTCTAGATTCTAATTATTCTTACCTTGCAGCTTATGTCAATATTCTTTTTTAACATCTCAAAGTTTTCTTGGCACTTAACAATCCAAATGAATAACATGTCTTTCCTCAATATCATCCTATCTTAAAATTTTTGGCTGCTCAGTATCGATACCCCTACCATGGCATCGATACCATTTTTCCATTCTCTTTTGAATGGTATCGATTCCTTCCCTTTGGTATCGATACTCTCCCTTCGTTATCGATACTACTCAGCTGATTCATCCCATTTTGCCTATAGTATCAGTATTGTTCTATCAGTACCGATATCCATGGCCAAAATTTCCAGTTTTCAACCCGAGACATACCCAAATTTGGTTAAATTTCGTCATGTTTACCCCCAATAATGCTATGTAACTCTTCTCTACTTATCCATACTAACTTTCCTTCATTTATATACTTAAAACATCTAGTATCCCTCAAGATCATTTGATTGGATGAATCACACCAAAATTTCTAACTTGTTTTTAAACTCATCCAATGCTTCTAATCCTTCATTTACCTCTTTGGCAAGTCATTTCTACCAATAAACATCAATAAACACTCATATATTAACATATCATTTTAAAACCCATTTTCTAAAATCTTAATTATTTCCCTTATCTCATCGTTTTAATCTCATCTAAACCTTCCTTAAGCTTCTATCATATACAAGGCTTCAATAACCAACCAAAAATGAAAGGATAAACTAAAAATTTAAAAACTCACCTTTGAGCTATGAAAGAGAGTTCTCCACGGACAGAGAAGAAGAATGAGTTGACCTAGTAAAATCCCCCTTTTCCCTTTATTCTTTACTTTTATACACTATAAGGAAATTATTTTTTAATTCATTTTATTCTAAATGACCAAAATGTCCTTTTCATCCTCTATTACTACAATTTAGTCTAAATTACTCTTCCCAAATCACTCTAATCTTTTATCAATTTAATCAAATAGATTCTCAAATTTTAAATCCTTTCAATAAAGTCTTTAATTCAATATTTGGGGCATTACATGATCCTTTTCTTCTAATTCAGTTGAATCCCAAAATTGGTCAAAATTTCATATCCTGACAGTTTGCACTACCTTTAAAGAAATATTATTATGTATTAATATAAACCTTTAAAATTATTCCATTTTTACCAATGGAAGCTAGACTCAAATACGAATATATCCATATAAGGAACTTCTTCTATTTCAATTTTTACAATTTATGGTAAATTTTCAAAGTTGACTGACAGAATTTGTTTTGAGCAGAATATGCTGCCCTGTTTTCTGACCTATCATTGGTTAAAAATTCATATGTTTTTCTATATACCTCGAATTCCGTTTGTTCTAAACAAAAATATACTGATATAAGAATCCAACGGTATAAAAATAGCTATCTAATCAATTTTTAGAATTTATGGTGTTTTTTCTAAAATTACTGTCCATAACTAATTTCTAAGCAGATTTCAACAATTTGCATTTTTAACTTTTTCACTAATTCTATTAGCTCACCAAATGCACATATATGCATGCATAAAAAATCGCATAATAATTTAGGAGTCACTCCTTACCATAGTAACTCCATTACTGGCTCTTCGTAAGCAAATGTTTGTTTGATAACACAATTACAAATTAAATTTGCACTCACCTGGTCTCCTTAGCTTGCAACCTTCCTTAGAATTTCCCATTTCATCCTTAAGCTTGTGTAGATTGAAATCAAGCTCCCGAGTCAAGCAAACAGAAAGGAAATGATAAAGTCGCAGAGTAGTCGGACTACAATAGTGCATAATAGTGAGGCAAATCAGGTGAGTGCATTTATTATGTACATTGAGAGTTATAAGTGCATGTTGATTAATGCATATGTTGCATTTCTACATATCGGCACTAAGTGTGCAACCCACGAAATTCATAATATGTTTATGAACGACCGTATCAAAATTAAGTGTGCAACCCATGGAATTCATAATAAGTTTATGAACGACCATATCAACACTAAGTGTGCAACCCACAGAATTCATAATAAGTTTATGAACGATCGTATCGGCACTAAGTGTGCAACCCACGAAATTTATAATAAGTTTATGAACGACTGTATCGGCACTAAGTGTGCAACTCATGGAATTCATAATGAGTTTATGAATGACCGTATCGGAACTACGTGTGCACCCCACGGAACTTATAATGAGTTGAAATAATTAATTTATTTGGATAACTATAATATACTTATGTATTGATTTCACCTCATTATTAGTTTTGCCTCACTAAGTAAATATTTAGCGTGTGTTGATTTCACGCGAAGGTTTTAGCGAGTGGAGTAAGGACTGCAACTGACATCACCAACCAATGGTCGCTTTATCAGTAATTGTATGACAACTATTTATACTTTTGATGTTATTAGCTGGCATGTAATAGACTTATGATAATGCTCTCAAAAGTATTTGACTTACGATGGTGTAAAAAAATATAATATGTTTGAACTTTAAGATTTGTTTACATACTGAAAGTTAATGAATGTTTTATTATTAAATTAAAATGTTTTATGATTAGAAACAAAATTTTACTGGTTTTTCAAAAGCGAAAAGTTTTAAAAGTTATGTGGAATATGTGACTCATGTATGGATACGTATACGGGAAATGGGTGTTACATTAGCTATCCACAATAAGGATTTCCACAAATTTACTAATTTTTATCTACTTTAAGGATAAGGTGTAACCTTACAACTCCCTCAAGATTTTTACCACAAATTCTTGAGTCACTTTGTCAAAGAGAAAATTACAAATTGCAATCTTATAAAATCTTCACTAGGAATATGTTTGCACAATTCAAGAACAAATAAGAACACTTGAGAAATAAATACAAATGAGTACAAAAAGTGTTATTTGAAAGCAAAAGGAATATTGAAGAATGTTGACTTGATTTGGCTCAAATTTGTTGTTTTTAGCTTTCTCTTTTGTCTCTTATCTTCACAAATGGCTTGGGATATTGTTTTTATACTCCCTCAATTAATTCCAATTGTTTGAGTTGTTGTGGGAGTGAATAGAGCTATTGGGAGGTAGTTTCTCGCATTAAATGTTGTCCACAAGCTTGTAGTATCGATACTCGGTCTTTCAATATCCATACTCCTTACATCAAATACAAAAATATGACCGTTGAGAAACTCTAGTATGGATACTATTACAAGGGTATCAATACTACTATATTCAGTAGTATCGATACTGTATATAGTATCGGTACCATTTTAGTATACTGGAATTTTGACGGATTCATAACCAAAAAGGTAGTATCGGTACCACCCCTGAGAGTATCGGTACTACTATACTAAGTAGTATCGATATTGTATATAGTATCGGTACCATTTTAGTATTTTATTTTGTCAAACTTGCATATAGTATCGGTATTGCCTTAGCAATAATGGTATCACTTCATAATTTTTGGTTTCAACATCGATATTTGTATCTATTCTTCTTGAACAGTATATGTATTGTTCTAGTAGTATCGGCACTACTATGCTTAAAAATTATTTTCGACTCAATTGAAGTTCGAAACCCTTAGTAAAAAATTATTTGAAAAAATATTTCCAGTGTAGGACTCAATTGTTCAGTAGAGTGAGGAGTAAAATTGACCTTTTAACTGTATAGAATAATTTTTATATTCAAATGATTGAATCGAATATAATCTTAAAATTTGTAAAAACTATTTAACAATTTTTTGGTATATCAAAATATCAAAGTGTTTTCAACATACATAATCGAGTCTTAACCTGTTACTTATTTCAAAATTTTCTATCTTTTTAAGATTCAACTAATTGTTGCACATTTGCAAGATCCAATAAAATTAGTAGTTGCTGCTGAACCACACATGTTCATCATTGCCTATAAGAATGTCTTGGTTGTTGCAGTTGCCACAGAGTATTATTTCTCTCAAACTAATAAGGTGAAAGAGTATTTGGTGGTATAAAATCGAGTATTCACTTGTAAATTATTTCAAAATTTTATATCTTTTTATGATTCAACTAATTTTTGTACGTTTCAAGGATCCAAGCAAATTTGTAGTTACTGCTACACCACACATGTTCACCAATGCCTACTAGAATGTATAGGCTGTTGCAGTTGCCACATAACATTCTTTCCATCAGGTTGATAAGATGAAAGTGTATTTGACGGTATGGAATCGACTCTTAACCTGTTAATTATTTCAAAATTTTCTATCTTTTTGACGTTCGGTTAGTTGTTAAATGCTTCCAAGATACAAGCAAATTAGCAGTTGTTGTTAAACCATACATGTTCATCAATGCCTATAAGAATGTCTTGGTTGTTGCAGTTGCCATAGAGTATTCTTTCCCTCAGGCTAATAAGATAAAATAGTATTTGGAGGTATAGAATTGAATCATAACCAGTTAGTTATTTTAAAATTTCCTATCTTTTTAAGATTCAAATAATTATTTCTCGCTTTTAGGATCCAATCAAGTTTACAGTTGTTACTGCACTACACATGTTTATCAATGCCTATAAGAATATCTTGGTTGTTGTTGTTTCAATAGAGTATTTATTCCCTAAGGCTGATAAGGTGAAAGAGTATTTGGCAGTATGGAATCGAATCTAAACCTGTTAATTATTTCAAAATTTCATATCTTTTTAAGATTCAACTAATTATTGCACGCTTCCAGGATCTAAGCAAATTTGCAGTTGTTGTTGCACCACAAATGTTCATCAATGCCTACAAGAATGTCTTGTTTGTTGTAGTTGTCACAAAGTATTCTCTTTCTAAGATTGATAAGGTGAAAGATTATTTAGCGGTATGGAATTGACTTTTAACCTGATACTTATTTCAAAATTTTCTAGATTTTTAAGATTCAATTAATTGATGCACGCTTCTAGGATCCAAACAAATTTGCAGCTGCTGCTGCACCACACATGTTCATTAATGCCTATAAGAATATCTTGGCATTTTCAGTTGTAGTACAATATTCTTTCCCTCTGGCTGATAAGATGAAAAAGTATTTTGTGGCATAGAATCGACTCTTAACATGTTAATCATTTCAAAATTTCCTATCTTTTTGAAGTTCAATAAATAGTTACACCACACATGTTCATCAATGCCTATAAGAATGTCTTGGTTGTAGTAGTTGCAACAGAGTATTCTTTCCCTAAGACTAATAAGGTAAAAGAGAATTTGGATATATAGAATCAAGTGTTAACCTTTTAATTATTTCAAAATTTTCTATCTTTTTAAGATTCAACTAATTGTTGCACATTTCTGAGATCCAAGAAAATTTGCAGTTGTTGTTGCCCCACAGATGTTCATCTATGCCTGCAAGAATGTCTTGGTTGTTACAGTTGCCACGGAGTATTCTTTCCCTTATACTTACGTTTCTAGTCTTTTCACTTAAGTTATTGCTCGTCTAAACAAAGTATGCACATCATTTTAGTTGCATTTAGGTTATATTTGTTTGTGGTGGATAAGTTTTGCTTCGGCAAAATTTATTTGGTTTGACTGATGCTGTTGAGGAGAAAGAGTCTGTGTGGATTGTGTATATCCAGGAAATTTACTGAGAAAGAACATTTCAGTTTCAACAACATAATTTGTAAGGGCTAATGGAATAGATAAGTCAAAGAAAGTGAGGAGCAGATTTATCTCTCCAAGGCAAGGTTTATCTGGAAAGTCTGAAGCGGATATGACAAAATCGTCTATGTAACATACCAGCTATACGAATTCTTTCACGTGTAAGCAAGCCCTCAAGATTCTGACAATAGTCAGTCGCCTTTCCTTTTTTAGCCTAGATAAGACAATAATGGGTATCTAGGGAATCTTTACTTATGTGAAACCCTATGAGATCTCCCTCTATAAATACCCAGCCATAGCCGCCAAAGAGAGGAGGCAAGTAAGTTAAAAGAGCTTTACTTGAAGTGTGAGCGAGCAACTACAGTGCTTCCCCACCGTTTACCAACTGACTTTCCTTGGTGTCCTCCACATCCAGACGGTAGCAGAGTTGTGGTCAGATCTCGAGAGAGGCTGACCGCCAAGGCAGGCGTGGTGTGTATCAGAATTGCCACGACATAGCCTCTGGTTTTAGGAGTCGTTCTTCCTTTGTTCTTAATTTCTTTACGTATTTGGGGTTGTATTAAAATGATGATACTTGGTTGAGTTTTTTATAACACTATGAACTATCTTACTTTGTGTTAATCTTTGTTTTGCCTAAACAATTATTTTCTTCTTTATGAATGATGAATTATGATTCTGCTCATGACTGTTTTGCTCATTGTTTGAATATTTTACCTTGACATTATAAGAGCTTTGAGACACTGCATGGGGTCTTGGTGAAACATGTCTTGGCAATGTAAGAACGTCGATAAATTTCCTTTTGTCTAGATATTGATTCTTAGATTCGATAGAATTAAGATAGATCTATGTGAACAATGGAATGGATCCGGGATGGTGATGTTCTAACTTGTCTACCTTAGAGATAAGGAGCGGGTTTCAATCGACTAAAAGGGATAGGGATACACGCTAAAGTAGGATAGATAATGATTATAGTTTATGCTGAGAGGTATTGCTACAACAACAGTCTGACAAACCAAGGGTTGTAGTTAACACTGAGAAGTATTACCATAGAAACTGTCTAACTATACTTAGTAATCCTGTCGGGAAGCTTAAGCATGTCATAACAATTCATTCTAGACTTAGAATAATTGCTTGGCAATACAAAAGATTAGCATGAGTGCTTTGTGATAAGTCTGAATATGTGAGGTTGTTTTGAATATATTTGAATCAACGTTTGTCCTTGTTTTATTTATTTTACTTCGATAGTTTGTATATTTATTTTGTCTCGACCAAAATTATCTGTAATCATACTTTATAATATTTTCCTATTTTATTACTAATAGTTTTCTAGTTTGACAAGATAGTAGGAATTAGCTTGTGACAACTAGTTCTGGTTGTGGTGAAGCTTAAAAACTTTCGACCAATCCCTGAGGAGACGATAACTCACTTACCCTATATTACTTGATTTGATTATGTATACTTGCACAGAATTGCTTGCCTTAGCATATACATTTACAAGTGATCAAGTTTTTGGTGCCATTGTCGGGGATTAGCAACTGACAAAATTTTTATTTTTCATTATAACAAGTTTTTCTTGACACCTTATATTTACTTAGTTTAACTTATTTTATTATTTTCTTTTGTAGGTTTTATTATTGCATGACCTTGAGATCTGTTGGTAACCCATTGGAACCATTTGACCCTGAAATTGAATAGTCATTTAGACAGAGGCGTAACCAACGAACCAAAGAGTATATAAACCAACGAACCAAAGAGTATATAAACCAACTACAATTTCAAGGCAACAACATGGGAGGTCAAGAAGATCCTGATGCAACAATTAATCTTCAAGTTGCAAGACCATGAGCAATACGAGATCATTTAAATCCAATTCTTGATGATCTCAATCCATGCATTGTGGCACATAAAATACAAGCAACTCATTTTGAGCTTAAACTGGTGATATTTAATATGCTAAATTCTATTTGGTCAATTTGGAGGTTCACCTAATGAGGATGCTAGACAGCATATTCATGCCTTCCTTGAAGTATGCGATTCATTCTGACAACAAGGAGTGCATGAAGATGTGCTTAAACTAAAACGTTTCCCTTATTCCCTACACGATAGAACGAGAGCTTGGCTTAGTGGAGTTCCTTCAGGCTCAATTGAATTGTGGGCAGATTTATGCAAAAGTTTCCTACTTAGATACAATCCGCCCAATATGAATACACAGCTTCGCAATGATATTGCAAGTTTTCGCCAAGGAGACGATGAATCAATGTACGAATGTTAGGATAAATATAAAAATTTACTTCGCAAGTGTATCAACCATGGATTTCATGACTGGACTCAAGTAGTGATGTTTTACAACGGAGTTAATGCACCTACTCGAATGATGTTAGATGCTTCAGTAAATGGTACCTTACTTGACAAATCACCCGAGAAAGCCTTTGATATCCTCGGCATGATAGCAAATAATGACTATCAATTTCCAAATACAAGGTTGGGAACCGGAAGAAAAACATCTGGAGCATATGAATTAGAGGGTAAGGATTCAGTAGCTGCTCAACTTTCTGCCATAACTAATATGTTGAAAAAATTACAGTATCTTAATGAGGTAAGAGAAGTCAAGGCAACCAATAATGCATGCACATTTTGTCACGACAACCATCATGAGAGTGAATGTCCATAAAACCATGAGTCTACCAATTTTGTAGGCAACTACAACCGAATCAACAATAACCCCTATTCAAATACATACAATCCTGACTGGAGACAACATCCAAATTTTTCATGGGGTAATCAAGGAAACAATAACAATCAAGTAGCAAATTACAATAGGCCACAAGAGAGTAACTCAGGCTATCAACATTTTCAGAATCATCATCAACTGCCCTGGTAAAACACTAAAGGTATAGCTTCTTCCTCTAATACTAATTCCAATACTAACTCCTTGGAAGTTTCATTACAAAAATTTATGGCCTTGACAAAAGATTTTATGACTTCAACAAAAACCTTGATGCACGAGCATTCTTCAACAATAAAAAACCAAGGAAATTTGTTGCAAAGACAAGCTGCACTTTTGCAAAGCCATAGGTCATCTCTAACAGCATTGGAGAACCAAGTGGGTCAAATTGCCACGGTATTGCATTCCTGCCCACAAGGAAATCTCCCTAGTGATATTGAAATCGCTAAACATCATGGAAAAGAGTAGTGCAATGTACTTACACTAAGAAGTGGAACACAGATCAACTAGAATGACAAGTTTGGGGAGAACAACTGAACAATTTTCACCAAGGCACTATACAACCAGAAGATCAAGCTAAATATGTGGAGAAGAATGAATCGCTCGAAGAGACGAAAAAGGATAAAGGCTCAGAATAACATCAACCAGATAATGGGAAATTCATGGCCAAGGCTAGAGATTCCTCAGCACCAATAGCAGATAATGTGAGACCTCCACCACCGTTCCCTCAACGATTAAAGAAACATAATGATGATATCTAGTTCAAGAAATTTGTTGA